GGTAGCCACTGTCAAGGACGGCCCCCTTTGATGTCCGTAAGGGTTAAATTCATAGCATTCAAACTGCTCGTCCACGGACTCATGTGCCTTAGGGAAACAGATGGTTAGGGGAGAGCTTGGAACATGGCCGATTTCTTTTTATCAAGTTGTTGCCTGTTAATGACCTTAGGCTGATAACCAATGGTCACATGGTAACAGTGTGGCTTGGAGGTCTTCAAGGAGATGGTCATCTATTAACTCTTTCTTTTAAGCATTTCAATGACCCCCTTTGGATAACCATGAGAAGAGTTCTTATTGTTGCAGTGGTGTGTGTGTGTGTGTGTGTGTGTGTGTGTGTGTGTGTGTGCGTGTGCGTGTGCGCACACGCTTCTCTGGCTGCCTATCTTGGGTAAATCCTCATGCAGATTTCATAAAGCTTCAGGAATATTTCACTGCTTCCATAGTTTTGCAAGCACACTAAAATATTTCATGTTTGTGCTCTCCCAAATGAAATCTACATTTGAAGGGAAAACCTAAAGTAATTTTGCATGTAGTCAAGGCTGAAGATCACCCTGCTCAGTTCCAAACCCCTGTGTTCCTAAGTGAGGTAAAAGACACAGCGGCTACCCCAAGCTACCCCTTCCCAAACTTAACAGAGCACAGCTTTAGAACCTTCTCTATACTATGCCCAGAAACACGGTGGGAGAATGAAATGGCATTATGTTTGCTCTGGGAAGCTTTAGAGGCTGTGTTTTAGGGAACGCTCTCCTTTTTATGTCTTCCACATTGTGTCCAGCTCTTTTGTGAGCTGTCCCCATTACAAAGAGCTGAAGTCCCCGCTCTGCCAGCACAGATCAGACTGTACGTACTGCCCAGCAGAGCTCAGCCAGCCTGTGGAAGCTGACCTAGCAAACTCCAGCCTGGCAACGGGTCTGCTGTGAGCAGTCACTTCAAATAGCCACCGCTTCCTGCATCTGCCTCCTGACTTTTTTCTGTTGCTTTATTTGGTTTGTTTTCAAAAGCCATTTTCTCTGGTTGCTTCCCCATAGAAATATTCCTATGTATTTCTTTCTCTTACACTAGACTCTCAAATGAGTCATACCATGGGCGCAGAGTGGGTGACTGCTCGAGCAATTGTCTCAGGATGTGCCTGTTGCTTGGGGCTTGTGCGGTGTCAGGTCAACAATTCCATTCAGTCATGAGCCATCCAAGAGGAAAGTAATGAACTTGTAGCCAATGGAAATCAGTTCATACATCTTTATCATTATATATATATATATATGTATGTAAAATTATCATTATATATATGTTTTATGCTAGTAAAAAACATAGTCCAACTACTAGAAAATAAATACTAGTAGCTTTTAATATTGTTTGATTTTTTACAAACCAGGAAATATTATTATACTAGTTCAGGTTTATTTTGCCATTTACAACGAAAACTTATTCCCTATATGTTCCCAGCATAATTTTTCTAACTTAATGTCTAACTGTGAATAAAGAAAGAAGGTAAGATCCTGCTTTAAGGAGAATCTTGATCTAGTTTCAAGCAGTGTGACACACTAAACGTTCACAGAAAACCTTTCCAACAGAGTCTATGTAAAACACTGAAAAGAACTGAACAGAAAAAAAGCTTCATGTTTTTAAATGCCTGGTTGGGGCTGCAGCAAAGCTAGGACTTGTTCAGGGGCAGAAACAACAAGGGAAGTGAGAAAATGAGCAGCAAGGCTGGGCAATGCAAGCACTGTATGGCAGACTTGGGGAACTGGGGGAGCCAGGGCTTGGGACTGAACTGGCAGCAAGATCAGTCTGGAGATGCAGGGAAAGCTGCCCCAACACCAGAAACAAGATCCATACCCCACCAGGAAAAGGGAGTTGGGAGAAACCTTGAGGTAAAGAGTTCTCAGGAGTCAGTGCTTGTCTTCAACTCAGCCGATGTGTGGGAAAAGATGGGAGAGAAATCCTGAGACTCTAGAGCCACAACTGTTGGAAGGGTGAGAACTCACAGTGGCTGTGCGATGCTCGACAGGTTCTCCTGTCAGAAATGTGCACCATCATAAAATGCTGTGTGTGTTTCCATTCATTGGAAGTATTTGGCATTCAGATTCATGGGGAGGGAAAGTAGAATGGGGGAGAAAGTGTCCTGAACAGCACTGAATGGAACGCTTCAAATATTTAAGATGATAAATTTTATGCTCCATGTATTTTATCATAATAAATAAGAGGAGACATTTTTAAATTTAATTTAAAGTCGACAACGACACCTAACTCCCTGCCAGAAACAATCAAAACAAACAAACAACAACAACAAAAGCAAACAAACCTCAGCAAAATCAAAAAAGAAGGGCCAAGAATGGAGTGCGTACCTGCAGCCTAATGTTTGGAAGGTCAAGGTGGGAAGGTCTGGATTTAACTTAGCCTAGCTACACATTAAGACTCTGCCTCAAAAATAGGTAAATAAATAACCCGCTTAAAGAAGAGGAAAGATAATTCACCTGTCATATTAATTTTCCAGGAGTGTGGGATATGCTCACGTAAAACATTTTATTTTAGGACACACGGAAGCACTTCCTATGCAGGACCCTTCTACAAACTACACCAATGAAAAAGACAATAAACTGTGTTAATCAATTATGAGAGAGGTATTGCAGGCTTAATTTTTTTCTGAGACAGTATCTCACTGCATAGCATTGGCCGGCCTGAAACTTGTTATGTAGACCAGGCTGGCCATGAACCATGGAGATACACCTACCTCTGATAAGACTGAAGGCACACACCATAATACCTGACCTTCTTCTTATTATTTTTTAATAAGAACAAACTGAAAATGTGTTGAAGGAAATAAAAGTTCTTAAATTTAACAACACAGATTTGAAAAGTAATGAAGTGGATTTTAATAAGAAAACTTTATGTTAATATTGTAAGGAAAATGCACAAAAGGCGATGAATTCTTCTGGGAAGACCACAGTGAAGAGCTAAAACTGAAGAAATTACAGTTCAGAGAGAGAAGTGGAGGAACAATGAGAGAGAAAGAGAGAGAGAGAGAGAGAGAGAGAGAGAGAGAGAGAGAGAGAGAGAAGGAGGACAGGTGTGAAGGTCCTGTTGGAACTGGGTTGGAACTTAGGCTATGAACAATAAGCAATATTTGGAGAGACAATGTGTGGAGCTTCTCAGGAGTAGTGGAAGATACATCTTTTTTTTTTTTTTTTTTACCAGGAATATCAATGACTTTTAAGTACACAATAAGAAAAGACACAGTGAAACAGAGTAGTGGTGGTGTGCACTTTAAATCCTGCACTTGGGAGACAGAGGCAGGTGAATTTCTGAGTTTGAAGACAGCTTGGGTTGTCTAATTCCAGGGCAGCCAGGACGACACAGAGAAACCTGGTCTCAAAAAACCCAAAGCCAAATCAAACAAACAAGCAAAAACCACAATGAGTCAGGTCATAGAAAAAATGCAGAATAATGAAAACAACGGCTGTAAAAGATTTCAGCAAATAAGCAAAGGAACAAACAAACAAAAAAGAAAGCATTTTAAAGGAAGAACACCTTGTTTCAGCTGGTTGTCAATAAAAGTGCACGGTGGTTGAAAATGGGTGATCACTGTGGGCTTAGGAAAGTAACTTGCAAACAGAGTATTGGAAATGATTGATTCTATCCTAGTATCCATAACACACAAATACACACACAAAAACAGAATAAGGCTCTTTTTAGACAAACAAAAGCTAAACATTATAACACAGACATTTACTGAAGGAATTAAAAATAATGTTCTTGGAAGTAGGTGTTGGAGTGGGAGTGATGGATGGGTGTGATCAAGATTGGCTATAGACATGTATGACATTTTCAAAGAAGAAGTGCAATCATTTAAAAAGAAAAAGAATTATATTATAAATCTTGTCAATCTAATGCTAATTTCAATACAGCTAATCTAAAGGTTTAGGATTAGCATTGGTTACATGTTTGTGCATTAACAGTGGCTAAGCAATTGTTTATAAAGTCAAGCCTCTCGTAAGACATGTACTAGGTTGAGTGGCGCATTCTGAAAACATGTCTGTGTTTTAACCCTAGGAATCTCTGAACGTGACCTTATTTCAGAAAAAAAGGGATTTGTAGATTATAATTAAGGATCTTAACTTGAGTTCATGCTATTACAAGTGGGTCATAAATTCAATATCCAATGTCCTTAGAGATGGAAGAGAAAACAGATATAAACCCAAGGCCTTGGGAAGGCAAAAGCAGAAACTAGGTTTCCAGTCACAAGCTGAGGAATAGCAAGGTCTGCCAGACAATGGGATAAGCAAGTGAGGGTTCCTGCAGCCTCTGAGCACCCGCAGTCTTTGTGACACTGGGGTTTCAGACTTCCTCTTTCAGAACCATGAGAGAATCAAAGCCCACCATGTTGGGTTAGTTGTTGTGTCATAATTGTTACGGCAGCCATATTTGACATTATCTTGATAATTTCAGTTTCCAAAATTCACGTGAAGCAAAGAAAAAACAGGTGGCAGGAACATTTTTGGTTTTCCTTTCAGGGTGAAACCATTTGTTTTCTCTTTATTTGTATTTATAGATGCATTTATCACCCCAGTTGTTGGCAAATACTGAACAAGTCAAATTGGCACATGCACGATAGTGTATCATAAGAGAAAGAAATGGAGCAGTCAGTAGTGACCTGTGCTGACAAATTATGGAAGATCAAGGAAGTCCCTCTACAAAACATCTCAGACAGAAGGTGGCACGCAAGAGGGATATGCACACTGCCGCACTGATTTCAGCGTATGCTCATTACAAGACTTCATAAACACCGCCTTCCAGGGACTGTGGGTATGATTCAGTGGTAGTGTGTGTCACAGTTGTATGTGTGAGGCCCTATGCTCAATACTCAGAACTGGAAAAAAATATCTTCAAGGTAGCCACTGTATCTCCTTATTAGTATTTCATTTACCGCATCACCGGTGATTTCTCTAATAACCCCTCCAATGTACAGTGGCATACAGCGATTTGTAAAGTACCCCACTTACCTGTCAAGGTGGGACATAACTGTTTTAGAGATGTCTGCACCTGCTTCTTGCAGTATACGAATGATCTGAAATGGTGCGCCTGGGTTTCTTCCAGGGTGGATGATGACCGGGCAGCCCAGCCGAGCCTGGGCATGAGCTGTAGCCTGCAGTACTTTTCTCTCGCTGTCGGTCAAAGGCCAGGAGCAGCCAATTTCTCCAATAACTCCACACTTGATGCTGGTCCCATCAGCTCCGTGGAGAATTTCATTGACAAGGACATCTGTAAGCTGAGGAAGAATGAGAATGAGCCTATTTTATAGATTGTGAAATACATCCAAACAAACTCATACTGTACAGAGGTATTTATTTAAAAATGTATTCTTTCAAAACTGTATTCTGAGTCAGGGAGCAGAGATGATAGCTCAGTCAGTAAAGAGTGTGTCTCACAATCATGAAGATCTGTGTTCCACCCCCACTCACATATGAATGCTGGGTGAGGCGGTACATTCTTGGGACCCCAGCACTGGTGAGACAGAGATGGACGGATCCCAAAGGCTCACTGGCCAACTGGTCTAGCCTAATATCACCAATTAGCTCCAGGTCAATGAGAAACCCAATCTCAAAGGAGAGGTAGTTTTCTTAAGGATGACATCTGAGGTTGTTCTCCAACTTACATACACACACGTCATTAACCTTTCTTTCTTTCTTCCTCTTCCTTCCTTCCTTTCGTTCTTTCTTTCTTTCTTTCTTTCTTTCTTTCTTTCTTTCTTTCTTTCTTCTTTCTCCTTTCCTCCCTCCCTCCCCCCTCCTTTCCTTCATTCTTTCTTCTCTCTCTCCTTCGTCTGTCTGTCTGTCTCTGTCTCTCTCTCTCTCACACACACACACACACAAATACACACACACACACACACCCCAACATTTATTTAGTTAAGATTGAGTAATGAATCACACATTTTTGACTAATTTGTAAATTCAGCTAGTTATTTAGTTACGTAGTTATTCTAAGTATCTTACTGAGACTATTGAGAAACTCATAGCTTAACACTCTGTAGGGACAAGGAAAAAGACTGTGTTCAGACTGAGAAGAGGGGTCCTTATTTTAATCTGGATATAGCAGCTATGGATGCCATTGAATCTGTCAACTCTATCAAGTTCTATAGTTCTCTCCTTTATTCCCACAATATGTACATTACTTGGTTCCTGTGTCCAGTAGCATTTAAGCATGGCTTGACAAGTTTATAATCATTGTTATTAGCTTAGTCTTCAACTAACATAAATGTAGACATTTAAAAGTTTATTGGAACATAATGCAGATGAAAATTTAAATTAAACCATTTTAAATATCAGCAGATGTTTCACCAAGTGTCTACCTGACATTCTGTACAGGCTATGGGAAGTATACAGGGATATATACTATATGTAAACACATGTAAACTGACACGTGTTTAACAAGAGAATACACACATGTCCAACAGAGCCCTGCAAGCTTAGCTTCCTTCTATTCTCCCCATTCTTACTTAATATTACAAACAAGAAAACAGACCTTCTCCCACCCCTCCCGGCTTGTAATAAGAGAAGAAGCCGTATTTGCAAATGTACCAAGTCTATGCCTGCCAAGTCTCACCCTACTGTGAATTTTCATTGCTGGTTATTATAAAACTTGAGGGGAATGCCGAAGCTGCACCATGGAAGCTCATGCTGGAAAAACGAAGTTTACAAGCAGACTGAAGGGGAAACCATTGAGCTCTGATGGAATTTGTACAAACCAAGTATTAACACATAGAAGCTGTCAATGACCAGTGTGTCGAGAGCCCCTCCCTCAACACTTGAAAGACACAGAATCTCACTAATTTGGGTCCTAGCCGGCAGCTGTCTTTGTGAGCTAGCTATTTTTTGTCACATATCCAGTTCCTTCTGAGCCAATGACATTTCCAGGGTTCAGACTGTTCTGAATTTATATACAAACAACGTCATAAGTAGTACCGTTTACCTGCTCCACTGACATGGCCCTGGTTGCTGCTGAGTGAGTTGCATCAACGTAGAACCCAGCTCCTGCTATGATGTGGACTCCAGTCTGCTCGGCTAGCCACTTCAGTGTCTGCACATCCCTGCTGAGCCCAGTGGTTGTGTTCTCCACCAAGGCTCCGCCTCCATTAGCCTTGAAATACAACAGTTCTTCCTTTATGGCTTCTGTCTCTTGATTCAACTGAAGGTTCTCTTGATGGGAATAAGGATTTTTCTGAATCCAAAATAAATTTTTAAGCATGATAGGTTCCTTGGAGGTAGCTTCATGGCATGGAGAAGGCGGGCAGTAAAAATTGTCGAAGGTCATTGTTAAATGCTCATGGGTCAAGGTGCGGCCCAGTTTGCTTGGTTCTACCAGGCCCAACACGGTTTGCACTTTCCCACTTAAGGAAGACATTTCTGACAGTGTCACAAGTGTTTGCTCTAAAAAGGAAATAGGAAAACCGAATTAGACCATTTAACACAAACATGCACACTGTCTGTGAGAGCGGGGTTGTGCATGTGACAGTCTGGAGGATCAATGATACTAGAGATAAAACCTCATTTATCATCTGCTCTAAGGGGAAATGCCTCGATTAGACGTCCTCTCTGCTTCCACCAGACCTCTTCTCATAGAGCAATTCCAACCCTATTTACTGGAGAAATTTCCTGATATCCAGTTTATATTTATATTTCACTTTTTTTGTTCCAGTTATAGCTTATGCTTCTTGGGTACGTCAACGAAAACCATTCTCCTTCATAATCGATAACTTCCATCAAAGCGAGCCATATATTAATATTACGATAATGTCATCACTTTTAACCCAGATAAAATATACGGGGGCTTCTACTCACGGTGCTACCCACTTGTTACTGTAGTGGATGGACTACTGTTGACAACCTGTCGTGCACCAGATGCATAACATGAAATCCTCAACCTGCATGACTTCACTGGGGGGACCCAATGAATAAGCGGGGGAGGGAGAAATGCATAGCTGCCTTTTTTAGAAGTCCAAAGTAAGAAGAAACAAACCATTTCACTTTCAAGAGTTTGAAAGTAACCCTTTAAAATACTTAAAAGCAAAACGTCATTGTTTTTAATGAAAGCGACAACAAGGTTATCTGTGATGGTGAAAAGCTAAATGTCAGCTTGACCCAACCTAGAATCATTTGGAAAGAGAGTCTCAGTAAGGAACTGTCTAAACAGGCTTAGACTGTGTGTTTGTCTGTAGGGAATTATCACAATTATGCCCATAAATATAGGAAGAACCAGTCCATCATGAGTGGCAACATTCATTCCCCAGGCAGGGGAATCTTGAACCATAACAGAGCAGAGAAAATGAGGTAAGCACAAGCAAGCAACAAAGGTGTATGTGTTCATTTCTCTCTGCGCTTGACCAGGTGTAATGTGACAGACTGTCTCAGCGCCCGCCCCTGTGACTTCTCTGCAGTGACAGCCTGTCACCTGGAACCAGAGCTAAAGGAAGATGCTTTGCGTCAAGGTATTTTATCACAGCAACAGACACGAAGCTAGAACACAATGGAAACAGAAATCAGCTGCCGTTCCTAGAAGAGCAAAGACAACTTTGTCCCCTACATACTTTCCTTTCAGACACAGATTAAGGATTTGCCAAGCTTCTCTCAGTGACAGCAAGAACTCCAATTTCAGCACTTCCGTGTTCCATGTACATTTCTAACAGAAGGAACTGGAGGAAGAGGAAGATGGCACTGAACTTGGTCAACAGTGACCCCACAGCTGAGGGCAGGAGCTCCAATCAGAGGACGGGCTAGCCATGCTCACGGGACTGGAAGAAACAGGCTGGGAACTGAGAACATAGTAGCTTTGAAAGCTTTCAGTGTTCCTACAACATTCTAAAATTATCTTCCCCCCCCCCCCCGCCCCGCCGCCATATCTTTGGAAGCCTACTCTGTATGTGTGGGAATAGTACACAATTTTGAGCCTGTGGAGGTCAGAGGGCAAACTCAAGTGTCATTCCTCTGAAGCCATGCACCATGTTTATAGAGACAAGGTCTCTCCCTGGCCTGGAACTCACATAAGAACTAGATAGTACGCTCTAGCGATCCTCCTATGACAAAGTCTGACTATGGGATTACTAAGGCCTACTAACACACCCGGCTATTTTATGTGGGCTCTGGAGATTGAACTCAGTTCCTCATGTCTACAAGGAAAGTGCTTTATTCACTGAAGCATCCTCTAGACCCGTTCTATGATTATCTGGGTGTCTTGCTTCTCATAAGTAAACCAGAGACTCTACATTGCACAGGAATCAAGTCAGATGCGACAGGATACTACACACAAAACACGGGTACACATGACACACGGTCTGTGGTCAGCAAAGAGTCGAGTTATTTTGCGCTTTGACTAGACAACTTCTTTCTGCAAAAGGAAGGGTACGGATCTGGATGTGGGGGGCAGAGCTGGGTGGGAGCAGCTGGGGGAGGGGAAACCATAATCAGAATATGTTTCATGATATGAAAAAATGTATTTTCAATAAAAGAAAAAAACTTTAAAAATGTTATGAGTACCGTACAGACTTTGAAAACAAAGTCAGAGGTCAGAGGAAAAAGTTTGCAAATAATGGGTCAGTTTTTATCCAGGCACTTCAATGACCTTGAACTTGAATGTTTGGGAAAATTTGCTGACAGTCATAAGTGACCAATTTATACTTTTCACTGGGAACTTCAGGACCATGACCAATGTGACTGATGAGTTTTGTTTGATAGTGTCCTTGTGCAAGCCCTGCTTCCGACATTAGATTGCACACATGGAGGCCACGAGGAATGCATGGTAGCTGCTCAGAGATTCACCATTCGATGGCCGGTCCCCACACAGGCTGTGTTTTCCATTGGAGATCTCTGAAGAGAGGTGCATGAAAGGTTTGCCTATAGACTGGAACTTACTGTTCAAAGCCTTATTCTTTGCTACTAAAAATAAACAGTATGTAGTTACTCCTTTGGTTGATGAGATCACAGCACCATTAATAATACAGTCAGTCCTCCATATGGGTTCATTTTCTGGGTCCTTCCTTCGGGCTGACAGCATTACAGATAGTTTGGGAGAGTCACAGAAGGGGGCAGAAATTAGGATAAACTGATAAAACACTACCACGTCTACCAGAAAGGGACCAAACTCCATGCTTAATTGATGTGTCTTTGAAAGAGCAACTTGGTATATTTCAAGTTTACAAGCTGTGAGTCTTTGTTTAAAAAAAAAAAGATTTAAGAAATGTCATCCCCTCTGGGAAACCCCTCTAATGCTCTCAAACAGAGCTGGCTGCTTCTTCTGTGATCACATACAATGGAACGCACTCGTCGAGGATAAGAAAAGATTAAGGAACAAAAAGGAGGCAGCAGTGCTTTAAGCAGGAATGTGGCTTTGAATGGAGCAAGGCACAGACTAGGAATTGGTGGTTCCAGTGGCTAAGGAGCCCCTTTTCGCCTGTGTTCTGTCTGGAAGTCACTCCCGGCACACAGGCAGAGGGCTCTCCTGGTCGTTCGCCATAAGGATGGGCACTCAGCACTCGTAGAAGCTGGAATGGCAGATAAAGGCTGGGGGTGGCGGCGCACATCTGTGCAGAGGGGAATGACCGCCCACGACAAAGGAGGCTTCCAGCATTTTCCAGAGCTTCCCACAGGAAATTCAGTATGACACACACCTGCACCGAAAACGGATAGCTACATCTATAAACGCATTTGACAAAAGCTTTGTTGCGCATCACCTGTGAGATCTGAATAATGTGTAAAAGGATAGTCTGCGAGTAGGAACCAACAGCCTATGAGAGTTCATACTGCTCTTCATCTTGACAGGGTCTGGAATCATGCAAGGGTCGAGGTCCAGGCATGCGGCTAAAGCATTACCTAGATTAGGTTAGTTGAGGTGAGAAGCTCAAGCCCAGATGTGAGTAGCGACATGCCATGGGCTGGGCTATCACACGGGAAAGAGGAAAGTTAGCTGGACACTACCTGGGCTACTTCATGGGACAGAGGGCAGCTCTCTGGACACCACCATTCATCTTTCTCTCCTTTGCTGGGGAAGCAGTCTGGCCCGACACAGCCCAGGTGCTTCTGCCTTGATGAATGGGATCACTCGAACCCCAAATAAGTCCTTCCTTCCTCAGATTGCTTTTAACACGTCCTCGGTCTGAGCAACAAGACAAGTAACTAATACAGAACCCTTCCAACCATTCTAAAACTTTGTCTTTGTTTTCTGAGACCAGGTCTCACTCTGTAGTTTACATAAGCCTGAACTCATGATGGTCTTCCTGCCTCAGATGCCTATGTCCTGGAAAGACGGGTGTGAGCCACCATGTCTGTCAACCCATCTAGTCTGGGCATTGAATAAACAGAGAACACTGAGCAAAAAAGTGAACACAAGAAGAGAGTAAGAGAATGGAATAAAACTGCCACACCACAGTTGAAAACAGAGACAGTAGGAGGAATTTAATTACGTACACACATGCACACCCACGCACGCACACACACACATACACACACACACACACATATATATATATACATACATATATATATATATACACTAACTTTTATAAGATATATAAAAAATTTGCTTCATGAACAAAGGTCTGATGGGGAGGAAGAAGTCTGGATATAATTTTGGTTTCCATTCGGTTTCACTGAAATTTTGACCATTAGTTTGATCTGGCCATTATGATTAAGCCTATTCTGTTTACCTAAGTTGAATATCATTTTCAGTTACAGGAATGGTCAATTCATCACTCTAATTGGACTTCGATGCACTGAGGATATTGGTAAGTCACACACCTGGGTGTGTCTGTGAGGAAGCTTCAGAGCCAATTAGATCATAAGGGTTCTGACCCAGTGAACAGATTAAGCCCTGAAGGATTTACGAATGATGGCATTTGGGGGAGTTGGTAGAGGTGGGGCCGACATGGAAGAAGCCTATACATTCTTCAAGGCCATAGCTTATCCTGTCCCCTTCCCACAACTTGACCTCTCTGCTTCCTGGCCACAATAAGACGAACAGCCTCCTCTGGCACGCTTTTCCCTCAGCCATGATGGTCAGCAATTGGAGCCAAATCAAGAGTCCAGGGGCTATGTGGATTGAACTCTCTGAAACAATGAGTCACAACTAATGCTCTCCTTTGCCTTTTTGGGTGATTCATGCCCTAGTTTGCCACATTGGTGAGAAAAGGCATGAACACTGGTAATCTCACATTTCGGAGGAGAGAGGACACCCAGAAGGCTGGAAACTTCGTACAGACAAGTGGGATCTTAAACACACATCCTCTGCATGCCATAGGCATCATACCTTGCCCTGTTTATACACTGGTGTGCCAGCCCTAGAGCTGACTGAAGCCACTAATACTTCAGCTGAGATATAATGGTCAAGTTGGCAAACTGACATTTTTACTGAGATGATTTAAAATTTCCTGTCCCGAGTT